TGCTGGTAGGTGAAGGAGTCTATGCTGATACCCATAATCAAATTCAATACCCCCAGGAAGCTTATGGACAGATTAATGGAGCTGGGATTAGAGCCTGGAAAAAGTTACCCACCTCTGGTCAGAAAACAGAGGAGCTCTCAAAAATTATTCAAGGGCCAGATGAAAAGTATCAGGATTTTGTCTCTCGGCTATTACAGGCTGTTGGCCGAGTAGTGGTGGATGGAGAGGCTGGCATGTTAATAGTTAAACAGTTGGCATATGAAAATGCCAACACTGCCTGTCAAGCTGCACTGCGGCCCTATCAAAGACAGGGGACTCTCTCAGATTATATCCGAATTTGTGCAGATATTGGTCCCTCATATATACAAGGAGTTGCCATTGCAGCTGCATTAAAGGGAACCACCATTGAAGGAATTCTTCAGCAACAATTTAGCACAGGGAAAAGTCCAACATACAAGTGTTACATTTGTGGAGGAACAGGACACATAGCAAAACAGTGTCCTTCTAATAAAGGGATTAATAAAGGAAATGGCAGAGGTCTCAAACAACCTGGACTGTGCCCTAAATGTAAAAAAGGAAAACATTGGGCAAATGAGTGTAAATCTAAGACAGATATCCAGGGAAATTCTTTGCCTCAACACCAGTCGGGAAACTACCAAAAGGGGCCAGCCCAGCCATGGCAAATAACAGGGGCATTGTCTATTTACCCTCCTGTCTCTATGCCATCTCAAGGCCAGCAGGCTGCACAGCACCCAGCCTGCCCCAGAGAGCAAAATAGATACAAGAGCTATTCCGAGCAACCCCTGGAAGTACCGGGCTGGACCTTGGATCCATAGGAATAAGACATTCTGTCTGCCCTGGGTGCTGCCCTTGCCTACTGAAATAAACAAAATATCATTAGATTTAAAACCTCCCACATAGAGAAGAAATGACAATTTCCTTGCATTTCTGATACAGCTACAGCAAATGCCACCAAATCTGAAATTTAAAAATACGTCTGGGATTTCTGTACACGTATAAAGAGAAAACTAGCTTGGAACTAAGGCACGCATTGTCCGATTTTGGACATTTAGATAGAGTTTTAAGCTGAAATCTCTTTGCAAATATACAAAATAAAACCCAAGACTGATTATTTCCTAAGAAAAATGGAAAATTTGACCCAAAGGAAAAAAGATGCTGGCTAGATTTTAGCTGCAGGATTGGCATTTCCATAATAAAGAACAGTTTTTAAATACTAATAAAGAATATTAAAAAGTTAACCTCAAGGCCAAAAAGGAAATTCAGTAAAATTATCTCTGTTACAAAAATTTGCTAAAGAATATGCCTTAAAATAAGAAATTAGATTTAAATCTCAAGAATTATTGAAATATATTAATTATAAAAATCTAAGCCCAGGTAAAAGACAGCTACACCCTTTAATTAAGGCTGGCTTCCCAAAGCAATTTCTAATAGAGGAAGGGCTAGCCTCCCTTCCCCCAACAGAGCAGGTAGGCCAAAAATTTCCTTCCAGTGACAACTTTTAAAAAGAGGCTTGCTTCTCAGTTTCCCATCCTTAGTAGAAAGAATGTAACTAATTTGCATTTTAATGGTTACCTGTTTTCAGTCAATGGCACCCCAGGCTTAGGAGTTAGCTAAATTGAATTAGATATTCTGAAATAACAAAATGCTAAAATATTAATCTAAATTTCCCTTACGAAAAATCTAAAGGATAGAATTAAATCTATTGATTATGTCATGTATTTTTAAAGTTTATTCTTAAAAATGTTACTGATTGAGAAATGCTAAATATTTAACTTGCCAGCTAAGAGTTTAAAGTTCTGGTTAAATAAATTGAGAGAAATAATATAATTATAATAAAATTTCAACATTTGTTTAATTGAAAAAAGAGGATAAATTCTGTTATCCCAACCAAAAATTTTAAATACAAAGATCAGTTTTAATTTAATTGATATCTTTTAATAATTATAAAAGGTATATAATCTTTAAATTATATATACACATATATATTTAATAGTCTTTTAAGTTAGATTTCAAAACTATAATCAAGGAATGACTTTAGGACATTTCATGGGCCCTGAAATGTTTTCAAAAGTTTATTTTCTTTTCTTAAAGGATTTTTTAATAAAGCCAATTTAATATACTTGAAATCACATAGAAAGCTTTATCAAATAAATAATTAATAAATATATATTTTAAGTTTTTGCCTCTAAGAAAGGGAAAAACAAGTTATCTTATTTAATATTTCTTAAAATACAGCAGTAGAATTTTAAGATATAATTTAAAATAACAAAAGCTCATTAATAATTTTTAATATTTTACAACAGCATATTAACATTTATTCCAAACAAGCTTACAAACTAATTGTTTGGCAGCAATTTAATAAGAACATGAAAGGATTTTATCCCTTCCACTATGTGGAAGGCCCCCTGGGAAGGCACTTAAGCATTCTATATTGACCTCTCTTGACCTTTTTGCCAAGGGGGTCCCTCTTCCAATTGCCTACAACTGTTGCCTAAGCTCTCTGTTCATACTGAGGTTAAAGCCTCATGGTGGCTGGTACCATAGATCTGTCTCTTGACCAATAGCGTAAGCTGGGCCCTCTCTGGAGAGCAAACCTGGGTTCCCCATGATCAATGCCGGGGCCCCGCCAGCATGCGAGGGGACCCAAAGGCAGTTACTGGGCATGGAGGCCACAGGGGCATACGCTACCAAGGAGACAGAACTAAACCTCACATCACCCTGCTTGGCCCCAGAGGATGGCTGGTTAGTCAATGACGGGTAAGACCCCTCTGGGAGGGGCGACCTAAGACAGGCACAGTCGCAGGGGGCCTCAGGGGAGAACTTGGGGGTCAGCAGAGGTGGGGCAGAGATCCTCACCCCCCCAACTATGCAGGGGCTTGAACACTCGCCCCTTCTGAGGAAGGTCTCCTGCCCCCATGGCTGCTGTGCTTCCCATGCCCAGCTCAGATCGGGACCTAGATAACAGAAAGAGACTTAGTCCAGCCGAAATGGGTACCCAGATAACAGAGACTTGGCTAACAGCAACTACCCTATATCTAAATCCATCTTAACACCAGGAATGCTCAGGGCCTTCTCAAGGATACAAAATAATCCTTTCCATTAATATTTACAGTATAAATTAAAATTGTTATTAAAATATTAAATCTAACAATAAAATAATAGTCAAGTTTTCAGATTAATTAAAACTAGCTCAAGAAGTATTAATCAAAATTTTCATTTCATAGATATATTGTTTAACATACTATAAACTTAAAGCAGTCATATTTTATACAAAAATTTAAAATTAAAAGTTATCAAGACTACACTAAAAAATTTCCAAAAACCTCCTAATATTAAAAAATAAAAAAGGGGGGATAGTGGAATAATAACCTGTTAAGTAAATGCCTTAATTGCTTTAATATTTTTACTTGAAAATTAATTTTTCATTTGTAATGCTAACAGCAAGACACACATGAAAAACACATATGGTGTCAAATAAGCTGAAGGAAAATCGTTTGGACAAAAATTAAAAGAATCCCAAGTCTAAATTATAGATATGATTCCTTTATTAACCTTTGGTCGAGAATATGTTTATATATTTTCAGAAAACAACTCCAAGACCATGTGGATTCCTGCAACAGAGAGGAATTATCAGGACTGCTCCAGCCACAGAATAGCAGTGGCCCTGTGAGACAACGAGAAGAGAAGCAGTCCAGAATTAAAGATGGTGAAGACGCCTTATCATGCTAGCAGTCAGCAGCTGTGCATTGCTGCAAGTTGCCCAGGACCAAACCACAGAGGGTCGGACCTGCATTGCCACCATTTGTCCACCATCCAGAATCCTGCACCCACCTAAGTATGTGTCCATCATTTTACTTTTTATCCAATCCCAGGGGTTTCCCCAACAAAGAAGGGGGATCTGTTGGGGGCCAGATGTAAGCTGGCAAGGTCCTTGCACCTGAAGGGGCTAGCAAAGCTGGGACCCTTACCCACACAGTTTTCCCAGACTTGTTTGGATGGCGTTTATCAGTAGAATAAGAGCAACATTTGTAGAGCCTTTCATAGCTTACCAAGAAGTCTGTAATTATTTACTGAGATATACTGTACTGAGAACTTGTCCTTCTGCTTAGAGATTAAGAGGAACAAAGAATACATTCCTCTTGATAGACCTCCTATTCAGTGTATTATGTATAAATAGTATTGTGTGGCTAATAAAGTTGCTTCAGTTCATCAAGAGAACTGGGGTCCTCCCGATCCCGCTTTCCTGTCTTTCTTTCTTTTCTCAATTCCCACCTCCCTGCCTCAGCCCGGCTCAACCCTGTCAGGCTGGCCCTGACAATCCCTCCTCCTTAATCTATCACCAATGGATTTCATGTAACCCACCTATGTCCCTCCTTTGATTGCAATGTATAAATACAAATGCAACCCGCCATGCTCTGGAGATAAGCAGAAGATAGTGTTTTGTTTTGTGGTTTTTGTTTTTTGTTTTTTTTTTCCATTGGATATTCTATATCTTGGAATGACTCTAATGACTATAGTGTATGGCCAGAGTAGCACAGATTAGCTAAAAGATCTCATTAAATCGAATACAACTCCAGCACCATTTATTGATTCATTTAACAAATATTTACTCAGCACCTATCAGGTGCAATTTCTGTGGATTGGGATATATTCTTAAACAAAGCAGACATACATGCCTCATGGAGTTTACATTTCAGCAGGGAGAGAAATGCTATAATAAATAAATAAATGTTACAGAAAGATTGAAGGTGACAATTGCTAAAGAAAATGTGCATCAGTGTAAAGTGATTGGGGATGTTGGAACAGGGACAGGAGTAGATCAGGGCATTTTGAAATATTAAATGAGAAAATCAGGCAAAGAAGGTACCAGAGATGTGGACAATTCATGCTCCACATGTGAATAGAAATAAGAAAAGAAAAAGGCTGCAATGAGAGTAGATAAAGAACTAGTTACTTGCCCTTTGGTCTGCGATACTCACGCAAACACAGTAGTTTCTTGGGGTTTAAGATACGGTCCATAAGTATTTTGCCTGTCATTTCAGTTTTCTCAGTGATATCCTCAAGTAGACTTTCAGTCTTGTTCACAATGCTGTCCACTCCTTCTCCCAACCTTTGTAACTCATCCTTATTTATAACATTTTTTTCTATCAAATCATCAAAAAAGCCATCGATCATGTTCCTGGCAATTGACTTGGCCTTATAGATGGGATCTTCTTCCTGTCTCTTGTCTGTGAAAACAATAGAATTTTAGATATAGACAAGACCTTCCATAGGTTCCAGGTAGTAGTTCCAGGTAGTGGTTCTCTAATGTAAATCAAGAATCTAAAAATCTAGATAAGCAAGAGCTGCCTGTACCCCATTCACAAAAATTCTGATTTCATAGGCCCTGGTCCCGGGTAGCTCATTTGGTTAGAGACTCATCCTCATAAGCCAAGGTTGCAGGGTTTATCCCTAATAAGGGCACATACAAGGTCAGGTCACATACAAGAATCAACAAATGGCCCTTGCTGGTTTGGTTCAGTAAATAGAGTGTCCACCTGAGGACTGAAGGGTCCCAGGTTCGATTCCAGTCAAGAGTACATGCCCAGCCGAAACCGGTTTGGCTCAGTGGATAGAGCGCCGGCCTGCGGACTGAAAGGTCCCAGGTTCGATTCCGGTCAAGGGCATGTACCTGGGTTGCGGGCACCTCCCCAGTGGGAGATGTGCAGGAGGCAGCTGATCGATGTTTCTCTCTCATCGATGTTTCTAACTCTCTATCTCTCTCCCTTCCTCTCTGTAAAAAAATCAATAAAATATATATATAAAAAAAAAAAAAGAGTACATGCCCAAGTTGCAGGCTCAATCCCCAGTGGGGGCATGCAGGAGGCAGCTAATCAAAAATTCTCTCTCATTATTCATGTTTCTATTTCTCTCTCCCTGAAATCAATACAAATATATTTTAAAAAAGAATTAACCAATGGCCAAAACCGGTTTGGCTCGGTGGATAGAGCGTCGGCCTACGGACTGAAAGGTCCCGGGTTCGATTCCGGTCAAGGGCATGTACATGGGTTGCGGGCACATCCCCAGTAGGAGATGTGCAGGAGGCAGCTGATCGATGTTTCTCTCTCATCGATGTTTCTGACTCTCTATCTCTCTCCCTTCCTCTCTGTAAAAAATCAATAAAATATATTTTAAAAAAAAAGAATTAACCAATGAATACATAAATAAGTGGAACAACAAATTAGTGTTTCTCTCTCTTCCTTCCTCTCTCTCTCTCTAAAAATTCTGATTTGATAGATCAGGGTGGATCTATCAAATTTTCATTTTATTTTATTTCATTCTGTGAATTTTCATTTCTAACAGCTACTGAGGTGATTCCACAGGCCACACTTACAATAGCACATACCTTACTCAAGCCTGTGCCTTGTTATAGATGAAGAAACTGACGTTCACAGACTTGAAGCAACTTCACTACGGAGATCCATGATAGCTGACATGGGTCAGTTTTTGTATCACCCACCATCTATTCACTTCCTATCACATTTATCAATACTTAAGAACACATGATATTCAATTTGTATAGCAGTAAACATAAACATATTATACTTGTAGAAGAATGCATTTTGTTTCCAGGGGCAGGGCTGAAAGCAGCTTTGTTTGTAGAGACTGAGAGCACGAACCACAGCTGGTTTGCTTGCTGAAAACGAAACATGGAGGAAATGCAAGTTCCTGTGTTTCACAGCAGGGCCTCTCACTCAAACAAGAGGATGCTCTTAAAATGGGCAAGAATTCTAGGGCGGTAAGAGCCCAAAGAAAAGCCTAAAATCACAGGAAATATTTAAGAACACAGATGCAGATTTTTTTTGGAATTTCCTATTTTTCCCTCAAGAAGCTGTAACATATTAACTAAAGTACTTTGTGTGTTAGCACAGTCACTTCTGTGACCCAAGCTCCCACCACCCACATCCCACAGTAGAATAGTTTTGTCTGCTGAGTGCCCCTTTCATGGCTCTGCTCCTCTCCCCCAGCCTTCCTCCTGAGCTGTAAGTCCCCCAAAACACAGCCATAAACAGTGGAAAAACTGGAGTCACTCACCAGCCATTGCTGTGCGGGCTCCCCGAGCAGAAAAAATCTTAAAAATGAAAGCAACTTTCTTTCCTCTCTCATTGGACACGGGTGTGTTTACTGGTATTGCTTAATTGGAAACTGCTGCTTCTCAAATTCTCTTGTTCTTTGCCAGGATAGGATTGGACTCCTGTGATTCATAGCTTCTTTCCTTTGGAAAACAGAGCAAAATCTATCTTTTCAGTTTGATATAACAAAGTCAGTGGAAGAAAATTCACACACACACACAGATACACACAGACACACACACACATACACACAGTTTCTGTTCTATTTTCCATTCTATTTTTAGCACAGTTAATAAATCAAATTGACCCTTACTTGTCTCTGTGCCACCCCTTAACCACTAATTAGAAGGAGGACCAACTTGACTGATGGCTGTGCACCCTTGGAAGTGAAGTGTTAATGTGGAAGGCTTGAAGGGAGCAAGAAACTGACAACTGCACACCTTGACAGGAGCATCACTTTCAAAACCCAAATAAGTCATCTCTTTTCTTCTCTTTTTTATTTTAAAGAAAAAAAAATAACTTTATATTGTGTAATGGAAAAGATAAGTTCCATTTTAGTGAAATGTGCACAAGGATTATTGTTCAGTTTAAATATAGTAATAAATAAAGGGAACCTTAGAACTGTTACACTGGATTCAAATTCAATGGCATCTGCTGAGCAAGAATAGTGGAGTCTTCAAGCATCTGTGAGAAAAGCCCAGTACTCAATTTGAAAATAAATGGTTAGATTTAAGGAATTTAGTTTAAATTTATTAAGCAATCCTATATAATAAAAGCCTAGGTGGCGTCGTGCTATGTCGTCACAAGATGGCCACCCCCATGTTGTCACAAGATGGCCACCACAAGATGGCTGGCAGGGAATGACAGTTGTGGGCGATCAGGCTGGCAGTAGAGGGCAGTTGGGGGCGACCAGACCTGCAGGGGAGGGCAGTTGAGGGCAATTGGGCTGGCAGAGGAGTAGTTAGGCGGCAATCAGGCCAGCAGTCGGACATCCCCCAAAGGGTCCCAGATTAGAAAGGGTGCAGGCCGGGCTGTGGGACACCCCCCACCATGCACAAATTTCATGCACTGAACCTCTAGTCCATATATATAAAAAGCCAGTTCCCGAAACACCATAACACCTGGAATAACCAGTCACTATGATGCCCACTGCAGCCAGTGAACCAGCCGATCGGGGGTGGGGCTGGCCAGCCAACCTCTGGCAGCCCCTCCCCCTGGCAGGCCCTGCTCCTGATGGGCTCCCACCATCCTGATTGGCCTGCAGCCCCTCCCTCCAACCAGCCCACCCCAGATAGCCACCCTCACCCCAATAAGGGGTGGGCTAGCAGGCCAACCTCCTGCAGACCCTCCCCCCACCCAGCCTTACCCCAGATCGCCCCCCCTCACAGGGATCAGGGGCAGTGCCAGCCAGCCAACCACCCATGACCCCTCTTCCAGGCCGCTGGCCCCTGATTGACCCCCAACCCCATTTGGGGGCATGGCAGGGCTGGCCAACCCACTGCCCACAGCCTCTCCCACAGCAAGCCCCATCCCTGATCAGCCCCCACCACCTCAATTGGCCCCCAGCCCCTCCCCCCAGCCAGCTCCACCCACCATCGCCCCCCCACACACATACCAATCAGGGGTGGCGCTGGCCAGCCAACCTCCCACAGTCCCTTCCCCAGCCACTGACCTCCAATTGGCCGCCCCACACCAATCATGGGTGGGACCCACTGGCCAATCGCCCATGCCCCTCCCCCGAGTTGTTTGGGCCCTGATCAGGGAGGGCTGGCCAGCCAACCTCCTGCTATCTCTTCCTCCTGACTGGCCCAGCCCCAATCCGCCCTGATTGGGGCAGGTTGGCCAGACCCCAGTGCAACAAATTTGTGCACTGGGCCTCTAATTACATATAAACATACCTAGAATCGTGCCTAATTTATAGTATTTGATGAAACAAGGTAGTTAATTTTCCCCTACTCAATAAACTTAAGCCAACCTTTTCTCTCTTTTTCCTGATCTCCTTAGTTGTCAGTTGTGGGCATTGTTTATCTATGTATTCATATGTCTATTTTTTTTATTTTTTGAGTGTACAAAGGACTCTTCTCTTTCATTAAAAAATAATAGCTTGCCATTAAAATTAAACAATAGAAAAGTGTATAAAATGGAATAAAATCATTCACCTTTAATTTCACACTACAAAGGTACCACAATTATATGTTTAGTTTGCATATTTGTTAATTTTTTCCTCTGCTTTTAAAAGACAGTTAATACTAATTTTTGATAGCCCAATCATTGACTTCCTTGGATCTATGCTCTTTGCCCTGATGATGGACTGGCATTATGACTTGGTTTTGGTGAGCATGATGCAGTGGAGGGACACTGCACCATCTGAGCCCTGGTCTTTGGAAGCATGATGAACCTCTCCCTCATGGCCCCCTGAGCCATCATGTGAATAAGCCTGGGCTAAATAGCTAAAGCATAAGAGACATCACATGGAGGAGAGCCCAGTCATCTCAGCCAAGGTTATCCTAGACCAGCTTCAAAGCAGATGATATTCAAATACATGAGAGATCCCAGCAATGTCAGTCGAGATGCCTACTCTACATGCAGGTGGTCTTAGATACATGAATAACCCCAGAAACAAGAATACCCACCCAGTTGACTGGTTGATTTGTGAACAATAGAAGTGCTTATTGCTTTTAACTACTAAGTTTTCGGGTACTTTGTTACTTAAAAATAGATAACTTACAAATATATATTTACCTATACATTTTCCCCATATTATCAATATTTTTTAAATTTGACAACAGATGACAAATATTTATAAAAGTCAACACTTTAAGAACTATTTTTGATGATTGTATAGTATTAAAACTATTGATACATTATAATTTTAAAATCTTTGGTCAAAGTAATAGATATATAAGGTAGCATATCCAGTAGTACTGAAAAGTATATAATGAAAAGTACATTCTCCACTAAAACTCTTTCCATTTTCAATCCCACAAGCTACATATCATTTATTTAAAATATTTTGGTTTGTTTTTCTGGTGGTAATTTTCAGAACTCTCAATAACATGCCTATTTTAACCCTCTATTCTTTAATATTAAATTCAAACAATGCCTTTGGTTACTTCAAATAAAAATGAGATGTAGTTTACTTACATTACCTCACTTCTACCAATTCTGCCTAATATTTTATTACTAGAGGCCCGGTGCATGAAATTCCCTCAGCCCAGCCTGCACCTTCTCCTATCTGGGACCCCTCAGGGGATGTCTGACTGCTGGTTTAGACCCAGCAGTCAGACATCCCTCTCACAATCCAGGACCACTGGCTCCTAACCACTCACCTGCCTGCCTGCCTAATTCCCCTAACTGCTCTTCTGCCTTCCTGATCACCCCTAACCACCTCTGCCTGCCTGGTCACCCCTAACGGCCCTCCCATGCCAGCCTGGTTGCCCCAATGTGCATATGGCTGGCGTCCCTCAACCTGGCCTGTGCCATCTCTCAGTCCAGGAGCCCTCGGGGGATGTCCTTGGGGGAGTGAGCCTAAGCCAGCAGTCAGACATCCTTAGCTCTGCTATGGAGGCGAGAGAGGCTCCTGCCACTGCTGCTGCACTTGCCAGCCATGAGCTCAGCTCAGGGCTTCTGGCTGAGTGATACTCCCCCTGTGGGAGTGCACTGACCACCAGGGGGCAGCTCCTGCATTAAGCGTCTGCCCCCTGGTGATCAGTGTGCATCATAGCAATTGGTTGTTCCACCCTTAGGTCGATTTGCATATTAGCCTTTTATTATATAGGATATGATTTTGAATTATTCTTTTGATTAACTGTTCAATATTAAATACTATTTAACCCTTATTTCTTCTGTCATCAGTGTTGTCCAATAACAGTTCTCCTCTATGTAAATTGATGATAGTTGCCTTCATATAGTTTCTTCCATTTTTTTTCTCACGTCCAATTATACCACCATTCTTAACCTATATTTTTTTTTACATTGTCTAAGTTATTAAAATTTTCATTCACTTTTGTATCCATGACCAAGTCTTCTGTGCTTTGTCCATGGAATAACTAAATATTAAGAATATATAATGAAGAACATTTATATTAGTACTAGAGGCCTGGTGCATGAAATTCTTGCAAGGGTAGGTTCCCTAGGCCTGGCCAGCGATCAGAGCTGATCTGTGGGGTGACTGGGGGTGTGATCTAGGCCCCCGCTTGCACCCACCTTGGCCTGTCACTGCCCGCTTGCCAGCCCTGCCCCCCACTGCTGCCACCTGTCAGGGCATGTTGGTTGGGGGCAGCTTCTGCATTGAGTGTCTGCCCCTTGGTGGTCAGTGCACATCATAGCAACTGGCCGTTCTGCCAGTCATTTGCTATTCCGTCAATTTGCATATAAGGGTTTTATATAGATAGATTGGCTATATATGCCTGTCTAGCAAATTATATGTTGGGGCTACATTTCCATCTCTTTGGGCCCAATCTCACAACAAATAATTTTTAATTCAGAGAAGATTCTTTCTAATCTCAAGATCTACTAGCTCACCATTATCAGGTCTCATAGAGTTGGTCTAAACCAGTGATGGCGAACCTTTTGAGCTCGGCGTGTCAGCATTTTGAAAAACCCTAACTTAACTCTGGTGCCATGTCACGTATAGAAATTTTTTGGTATTTGCAACCATAGTAAAACAAAGACTTATATTTTTGATATTCATTTTATATATTTAAATTCCACTTAACAAAGAAAAATCAACCAAAAAAATGAGTTCACATGTCACCTCTGACACGCGTGTCATAGTTTCACCATCACTGGTCTAAACTCTTGCAATTTTATCTAAGGCTAAGCCATCAATTTTTTCTTCTGTTCATTCACTCTCACCTAGTCAAAGACATTGTTCAACAATAGTCCCATTGCTCTTCTACATCATTCGTTTTCCCTCTTAATCATGTCATTATGATAACCATTAAAAACACTATAAGTCCCCTTTATTAAAAAGAACTCTCGAAATCCCACTTACACATAACTTCTCAAAAGCTTTATTTATCCTTAATTTCCCCAAATGGGAGAGACTAAGAGAGAGAAACATCCATGTGAGAGAGACACATTGATTATTTGCTTCCTGTACACATCCTAACTGGAGCA